TGCTCACTAGGAAATTTCGTAAGAACAGCCCAGTCGAGGTTAATAAGTAAGGTTGATTCAGAAAATGAACACATTTTTAAATTCATTCATGGGCATATTTATGTGTGTTTACATTTGTGCACTAAGTGTGGCTTGAAGGTCTGCCTGTGCCTCTAGCTCCTCACTGTGTCTTTGGTGTTTCCTAGTTTCCCTGACCCTACTTCCAACCCCCTCCCAGTCCTATTCCGTGTCTGGTCCGTTCTCTGTATAGCGGCCTCATCACCCGCCAGCTACTCTTCTGTGCTGCAGTTACTCCTTAAACATGCAAAATGCAGATCCTTGCCCAGAAGGGCCGAGGGAAGGAAAAGGGCTACTGGCTCACCTCCACCTCCACCACCCCTGCAGGGAGCAGTGTTGGGGGTAAAGTGACAAGGACTCCAGAATGGCTGTTTTCAGATCAACTAAGAGGCGTTTGTGTTTCGTCCTTTAAGAGACAATTTACTTACTCTTTGTACTGTGCTTTTCACCCCAAATGCGCTATTCTGACCTTCCTAAGACCCTTCCCAGCTGCTCTGGGGGTTTGCAGAGTTCAAACAATAAAAATCCAGATAAAATCCAGGTTGCCAGTTACATCGGAATTTCAGACCAATAGTGAATACTTCTGTAGTGTAAGTATATCCCAAATATTGCATGGGACCTACTGATACGACAGAATTATCTGTAGTGTCTGTAGTGTTTGCTAAATCTGACAAGCCTATCAGAGAAGGAAGTGAGCAAGGCCTGGGAGGGCGTCCTGTGCTGTTCCATTTAGAATGTAAATTAAGGGACTTCCCTGGTGGCGCAGTGGTTAAGAATCTGCCTGCCAATGCAGGGGACAGGGGTTCCATCCCTGGTCAGGGAAGATCCCACATGCTGCAGAGCGCGCGCGGGGCTCAGGCCTCGTCCTCGCCCTCCTCCTCCTAAGCCATGTGCCACAACTACTGAGCCTGCACTCTAGAGCCCTCGAGCCACAACTACTGAGCCTGCATGCCACAGCTACTGAAGCTCGCACACCTAGAGCCCACGCTCCGCAACAAGAGAAGCCGCCCCAATGAGAAGCCCATGCACCGCAACGAAGAGTAGCCCCCGCCTGCCGCAACTGGAGAAAGCCCACGTGCAGCAATGAAGACCCAACACAGCCAAAAAAATAAAATTAAATTAAATTGGAGGGGCTTTAGCCAGAGGCCCTATGTGGGAGAACAGCCAAATAATAAAAGAAATAAATGAAAACACCACGGAGGTGACAGCAACTGCTCCATCTTGGATCTTGGGCTCCACATGCCTTGGCCTAAGTCCTGGACCCCGTCCACCTGCAGCCGTCTAGATGGGAAGGCTCCAGGCTTGGCTGCAGCTGCAGGGGTTTAGGGTCAGGAAGATGTCACAGGGAATGGGGAAGCATAAAATATCAGCCGGTGACTTCACCCTTCATCATCCAAGTCAACATAATGATATATCATTTTTACAGTCGGGGAAAAGTAAGCAAACAATTTAAGGGCTAAATATTACAGTAGTTTCTAAGTAAGGCCTTTAGAATTCTAATATCACTTTCCACAATTTCTCTATGCCATGAATTGGTTCTTTTTAAAAAGTCACTTTAGGATATAATAAGATTCTGTTCCCTTCATTCTACTGCTCTCATAATTCCTGGGCTTCCTCCCTACCCCTCTTCCTTCTCTCTCTCTCTCACACACACACAATTTTCCCTTTCTCTGTCACGTGATGTCAGTACCATCACATTTTCTTCTACTGGTTTCCTGCCATAGAAAATCTACTTTCTCATAGGACCTACTAATTTTTGAAAGCGTGCGCTCATCTGTGTTAATCAGGAACTGACTTTGCTCTAATTTGAACCATTTCCCCACGTACACAGGTCAAATTTACATCCCTGTTGGGACATGAGGTAGATTTCTCCTTTGCTCATTATTCTTGGGACATTTACAACAGATTCCATTTGTCTGAAACTTCCCTTTGCCTGAAAAAACAATGCTTCATTTTTGTCAAATGCAGTCAATAGCTATACCTTTTCTCCCCACGGACAGTCCGCATTCTGACTCTTTGATTTTTGTGTCAGCCCATTTTGAATTGTTCAAATTTTCAACAAAATAGACTATTAAGCTTTTCTCCTCCAGCCTTGTCCATTCTTCATATGAGCAAAATGACACCAGCGACCGAGGTGCACAACAGTGTCTGCCGCCACGTGGGAGAATCAGGAAGATGGGCTTGGCTCTAAATGGCCCTAAGGAGCCCCTAGTAAAATGATCAAGGATTAACGGAGCCTTGGGGACCAACTAGGAGCTGAGTTAGGGAGTGATTTATAGTTATGCTTCTTTTGGTTTATTGACTTTTCAGTTTATCTAACTGTGATAGAGTCCTATGTTATCTCAGTTTATCATCTGCTTCAAGCACGCAGATAATCTCTCCATCTAATAGATTCAACAAGTTTTTATACAATCATTGCACCTGGGACTATTTGGTGAGGATTAGAGCTACTGTAGGAAAGTAAAAATTTTAAGAGGGCAGTTAGCCTTATGACTGTGGGAAAACAAGCACCCTTACCTCAATCGTCTGAATATTTTAGGTGAAAGTAGAACTTGGTGCTAGAAACAGACCCAGACCTCCACTTCAGAGTATTGGATTCGACGGGCCTCCTTGTGGAATATACAAATGCAACTGTATGCGTTTAAGGACGAGGTTTCTTTTTACTTCCTACACTAAGCATCCAGGATCTATCAAAAGCATTACCACATTGCAGCTAGACAGACTTCAATATGGTGACATCAGGAGCCTGAATAAGCAAAAATAGTGTATCATCATCAGTGGATCTACTCATACAGATACACAGACACACACGTGGTCAGAAGAGACAAAATACATCGTTTGTAGTTGTTACCCAGCAAGTAGTAGGCAGGAGGGTCAGACAGACCCTCCTGGACAGAGGGAGATTTTTTAAATAAGCACGTATTGCTTTTCATGATTTTAAAAGCCAGTATAATATTTGAATTAAAATAATACTCTTTGACAGAAATAGGCAGACTATCATGATAGATGCTTCTCTGGTCTTTTAAGAAGTTTTCACTTTGAAATTACAAGTTTTTGAAGGAAGCTTACGTAGCAATAATACAATATTTATAAAGAGTAAGTATATGCCACCCTGTTGCTCCTCACGCTTGGCCTGTGTGCTGTATTCTTTTATTAGGCGAAGCTCTTAGAAATGGATGGGGTTGAACTGGTCTCCTGTTCTTGATGGAGCCCCCAGGAAGGGCAGCGAGGGCCCAGGACAGAGCGTCACCCTGGCGAGCAGCCAGGGCCCTCCGGCAGGGAGTCAACACGCTTTGCCCTCTTGAGTGTGGCTTGGGGCCACGGTGATCACAGCATGTTTTCCAGTTTGATTTTTCTAACAAGAGAGATCACATTTTTCTTTAAATAGAGACACGCTCTTCCATAATCTTAACCTCACACACTTTCCCAACTCCAGATACAAAAGCAGTTACCTTTTTGAGCACCTGAGGTCGGGGCTAACGTCCCAGGAGTTCTCACAGGTTTGGGTCATCACACCCAGGCAGCCATCCCATCTAGAAGACCACACCAAACCTACCTCCCAGCATCCTACACTCCAATCCCATACAGCCTGCTTCCCCCCCACCCCCAGCAACAGCAACAAACCCTA